AACGACCACATTCATTCACTGACCAGCTCAGGTGAGTCTGCCAGCCTGGCCACAGGGCTGGGTCAGCACAGGAACTGCATGAGCTAGAGCTGACCCCATCAGCTCAGAAGGACATGGATGCAAAAAGGATATTAGCTTTTTGTTTACCATATGTTTCTCTATGCTTCTGTTTTATTACTTTATTTTTACATAATAATATAATTATTTTTCAATTATTATAGACTTTTAATTTTTGTACGGAACTTTCAAACCAGGAAACATGTCTCTTTTTACATGTATTGTAAGAGATAGCAGATTCAGTGTTGTAATAATGCAATATTATGATGCAGCACTGTTTTTGCTTTTCATTTTAAAACCTGCTCAAGGATGGAAAAATACAGGACTTATTTATATTTTCTGAAGAGTGTTCTCAAAGTCCAGTCAGAAAATGTCAAATGTCTGGGGGAAGATAGTCACTGCTGCACACAGGTCCATTCATATTGTCTTATCAATTAGTGCAGCGACATTAAAGGACATAGAACAGGAAAACTGCAGAATTTGGGCAAACTGCAGATATACAGTTTTGTTTAAAGTTACACAAACATACAGTAACTACATAATAACCAGTCCTTAACCTTTAAAGAATTTGGGTTCTGAAAACATGCTGTTAAGCATTACTGCATGCTTCTACAAGTAATAAGACTGTGTTATTTATTTCTATATTTCACAATGTGATGATTTTTAAACCTTTATTTTTCAAGTCCAAGGCCCTCAGTCAAGATGGCAACTGGACAGCTGAACAAAACAAAACTAGCGACTTTTCTTCTCAGACATGTGCAGCAAGAAGAGGAGATTTACCGCACTACATTTTTCAGAAGCATGCCCCATAAAAACAGGAAAAAGCTGACAGAAACAGCTCCTACAGTACTAAGCCAATTACTATTACAATTATCTCATTAACAGCAGAGCTGGAATGCAGCCCTGCAGACACGGCATCCTTCCAGGAATGGAGTTACGCTCCTCTGCACAGATCACTCTTACAGACATCTGTGCGCAATGGCTTGGCTCCCCTGTTTGCCTCTCATTGCTCTGAGTGAGATTTTGAAAATAATTGAACTGGAGTTATTACAAGGTGTGCTTCATTTCACAATTCATGGTCTTGCTATGCACAAAAGGCCGTAATACAAAGCTAACTTTAGGGATCTGCTGATTGCTTTCAGAGTGTAATCAGAAACTGAAGAGCTACTATGGGTACAGTGATAACAGTATTCAGTATCAATTCCAGCTAGTTTTTGAATTTTTTTCATTCCTATGATTTACTAGTTCAAATCTGCCTCGGGTCTTGTACTTCAGTCACCTTGAAATGTTCCGAAAAAAAACAACAAAAATAATAAACTGTCAGTCTTGAGGATTCAAAGGAGTGCTATTTTAGACCTCCTATGCTTTGTATAATGAAAAAGGTTTAAAAATCAAGTTAATAGATATACTTCAGATTACCTTAAACAGATGTAACAACTTATACAGTATGTTTCAGAAACACACCTTGCGGTCTTCATGTGGGTGCAACAGTTGTGATGCAGTTCTAAAATGTTGTCTTTGTCTTATTTTTAAGGGAGTTACGAATTAAGAATAGACTTAAAGGATTTCGACAATGTGGCAACATTTGCAAAATTCCAGTCTTTTAAAATTCTGGGAGAATCAGATAATTACAAACTTCTTCTTGGGGAATTTCAAGCCGGTGATGCAGGTATGTTCCCAATTCTGTCCAGTGATGTGAAATGCTAATAATTCCTTGTAAATA